AACTCCTGGACTCAAGTGATCCTCCCACCTCAGCCTCCCTAATTGCTAGGACTTAACAGGTGTCTGTCATCTCACCAAAATTATTTTTTTAATTTTTTTAATGCCTGAATAATTTTTATTTTATTTTTTTATAGAGTTGGGGTCTCCCTATGTTACCCAGGCTGGTCTGAAACTCCTGGCCTCAGGTGATCTTCCTACTTTAGCCTCTTAAGGTGCTGAGATTATAAGCATGAGCCACCACACCTGACCAGCAGCACTGATTATAATTTCTTCAAACCAGAAAATGACTCAGAAACCCATCAACAATAGAAAAGATAAGTAAAGTGTGTTACATTCACACAATACTATACAGCAATGAGAATGATTTACACTATACTTAATAATATATGTGAGTCATTCTGAATCTTACAAACATAATGTCCTAAATAACCCGGAGACCAAAGGGTCCAGCCTGGACAACAGAGCAAGACTCCATCCCAAAAAAACAAAATGGAACAAAACAAAAATATAAATTAAATAAGTTAATTTTTGTGTACAGTTGTAAATATAGATATTTGTGTTATAAACCTATACAGGAAGACTATAAACCATAATCTTCAAAAAAGAAATCCAGTCATCCAAGCATCAGGCCCTGGGTATTCCATGCAATTTTCAAGGTCTCAGCATTATAGAAATGTGGACAGAACAACAGAGCACTGTTGGCCAGTGTTCCAATGGCAAGGTACAGAAATGGGTTGTGAGTAACATTAACTCAAAAGTGAACTCCACTTGAAAATAGTAGACTGATGCATTTTTATGGATGTTGTGTGTGTGTTGTGTGTGTGTGTGTGTGTGTGTGTATGTGTGTGTTTAAAACAAGGTCTTGCTCTGTTACCAAGGCTAGAGTGCAGTGGCAATGATCATGACTCACTGCAGCCATGAACTCCTGGGATCAAGCAATCCTTCTGCCTCAGCCTCCCCAAATGCTGAGATTACAGGTGTTAGCCACTGTGTCCGCCCAGATGGTATCTTTTAGAGTGAGAAGGATACTTTGAAAGTATAGAATTATGCACATTGCATTGAAACATATGCACAATAAAGAGTGGATGGAGGCTGGGTGCGGTGGCTCAAACTTGTAATCCCAGCACTTTGGGAGGCCGAGGTGGGCAGGTCACTTGAGGTCAGGAGTTTGAGACCAGCCTGGCCAACATGGTGAAACCCTGTGTCTACTAAAACACAAAAATTAGCTGGGCATGGTGCTGCATGCCTGTAATCTCAGCTACTCAGGAGGCTGAGGCAAAAGAATCACTTGAACCTGGGAGGTGGAGGTGGCAGTGAACTGAGATTGCGCCACTGCACTCCAGCCTGGGCAACATGGAGACTCAGCCTGGGCGACATGGAGACTCCGTCTCAAAA